AGGTTGCCCAGAGAAGCTGTGGATGCCCCATCCCTGGAAGTGTCCAAGGCCAGGCTGGATGAGGCTTGGAGCAACCTGGTGTAGTGGAAGGAATCCCTGCCCCGGCATGGAGTGGGATCTAGATGATCTTTAAGGTCCCTTCCCACCCAAACTAGTCTGTGATTCTAAGAAGCCAGCGTTTTCCAGCTGGCCTTTCCCATCGTTCTGCGGAGCGGGGCAGTCTGTGGCTCTGGCGATAGACAGAAGCGTGTTGGTGCGCCGTGCCGCTGATTTCCTTGGCCAGCCCTAACGTGGTTTGCAGCTCAGGGGGTGGTGGGTTTGCAGTTTAGGATACCCTGAGCACTTGCTTAATACCCTGGAGCTGCGTTTCAGACGGGGATAAGGTGGTCCGGTCACGCTGGTAGAGGTCAGTGGAAAACCCCAGAGGTCTGTAAGGCTGGGTTTGGCTCTGCTTGTGCTGATTAGGGGTTCCTTGGTTAAGATAACAACTGAAAGGAAGCTGGAATGAAAGGTATGAGGGCGTGGGGCTGTGTGCAGCTCTCTGGTACCAGTTTCAGCTCTCTGAGGCTGCTTCTTTTGCACCCACTTCAAAGTCCTATATCCTCTGCGAATGGGGAAGCCAGATAAAAGGACAGAAATGAGTGGCTGAGCTGAAATACAGGAATTCCATGCTGTCTTTTGGGTTTTTTGTTCTTTTTTTTAACCCTTCCTGGTCTGGGTTTAAGAAAATAAACCACTAATAACTTTCTATTTACAATAAGAAATGTATTCCTTGGCATCTGGGGCTGTATAATTATGATGTGGTTGTAAAATCAAAGGCTTTTCTTTTCTTCCCCTGCGCTGTAGGCTTATTTGATTTATAAAGCATAAACACCCTCTGTTGTGCTAAATTGCCCGTGCCTCCCAAGAACTTGTTTGTAAAAGGGATCTCATTTCTGCAGGTGGTACAAGCTTCGCTCCAAACCAGGGAAGAAGGAAAAGGAGAGAGGGGAGATCGAAGTGGATATCCAGTTTATGAGGAGCAACATGACAGCCAGTATGTTTGATCTGTCCATGAAAGACAAGTCTCGCTCGCCCTTTGGCAAGCTCAAAGACAAGCTCAAGGGGAAGAGGAGCAGCGGGCTTTCCGACACGGCGTCGGCGATCATTCCCAGCACGACTCACTCCCCCGCTGACAGCGAAGATGAGTCAGTTGAGAAGGAAAAGAAGAAATCCAAGTTCAAAACCCTGTTTTCCAAACCTGGCCTGCAGAAGACTTCCCTCTCCCAGTCCATGTCGGTCCTGCCGACGCAGCAGCCCGTCACCGAGAGGGTTCGGCTTCATCCCAGCGACTTCCAGTCCCAATGGGATGACGAGGAGTCTGAGACCTCTCCAACCTCGGAAAGTGAGTACTGGCTTTAGGTCATGGACCGGCGCGTGCGATCTGGTGTGCCGAGGGCTGGCAGTGGTAGGGGACCGGGAGCTTTGGCAGTGGCTGGTGTAGTCACACTTGCCATGCTGCTGCCATCCGTTCGTGACTGTGAAGCTCTGGGACTGTCAAGGAGTGTCGGGGGAAAGGACATTCTTCCATTTTGATCTTCTCCCTGTTTATTTTTTCCAGAAACCTTTGGAAATGCCTTGGAAGAGAAGTCTTCTCTTTCTCCTGTATTTAAGTCTCGTAAAACAGCAGCTGTGGACAGCAGGCAGCTAAACCAAGTAACCACTAGCCACACCAAGAAAGAAGGGCTCTCTTTATTCAGTGGCCTTAAATCCAAAAGCGATCCCGTTTCCAAGTCCAGTCTGTGTATCAATGGCAGTCACGTTTATATGGAAGAGAGCACGGCGAAGGATAACACTCCAGCCTCTTCCCCCTCTCCTCACAACTTCAGGAGGAAGCAGCACTTTGCTTCAGAAGAGAACCTGTCTTCCAGATCGACTAAAGGACCTGAGGAGACGGGAAGAACATCTCCTAGTCGTGCTTTCTCTGGGTCTGCATCCCTGGAGACCTTTAAATCTATGACTCTGCCGTCATACAGACTGCTTAGCGGCGAAGAGTACCTGGAAAGCAGCCTTCCTCCCAGTGTTGACGTTCTGAAAGAGCCTAGAAAAACGGACCACAGAAAGCCTGCCTTGCTCTCCCTGGTCACAGGGAAGAAGGAAGCAGCGAAGACCGGTGATGCTGAGAACGCTCCCGACAGAACCCTGCAGGATGAGCAGAACAAGGTTCAAGAAGAGAAGAGTGAACAGGAGGCCAAGTGTCTTGACCTTCCAGCAGATTTAAGCAGAGGGAATCCCTCGGAAGACGTCTTTGCCAGCAAGCAGCCGCTCAGCCCTTTTGAGGAAGACCGGAAACCTGAAAGAGCTGCTGCAGCGGCGAAGACCAAAGCCGTCAAGCCCAGGTCGGTCACGTTCGCTTCGGAGGTTGCCAGAAATAGTGATGTGCACATCACCACAGCGGTGGTGACAGGCTCTTACTAGGCTGCTTCCTGCCACAGAGCAGCGCTTCTCGGCCTGGCGTCCTGTGTGCCGCACCGCGTGTCGCTCTGCAGGGTGTCTGGTGATTTTTAAGCTAGCCTTTGGGCGCTTTAATAACAAATAGTAACTCTGAGTTCTTTCTGGCATGACAAGAGGTCGATATAGGGGTGCTTCTTGTAAGTGATGCTGAAATAGTGGGTGCAGGCATCTTCTCAGGTACCACAGGGGTGATGTTTCTTGCTTGGATCTCTTGCAAAAACTAACTTGTGGCTGAGCTGTGCGACTTGCACGTCCCCGGGGGCTGAAATCCAGTTCTAACGGCTCTGCTCTCCTCCTCTGTACTTGGCTGTGGTCTTCAAACGTGTTAATCTCGGAGCCCTTCCGCCCTCGTCATTGTTCACAGCGACACGAAGGAGGTTGGTGGGAATTTGTCCATGCGGCTTTTTCGGAAATTCTGCTCCTTTATGCTTCTCATACATATATAAAAATACATAAATTCTCTGTGTGTTTTTATATATTTATGGGGGTGTCCTACTAATATGCTACGTTTTGTGTCCGTCTCTAACTCCTTCCTTTCAGTGCCTCTCGTGTTTAAGTGTCTTGCGCCGTAAGGGTCTCGCTAACGAAATTGCTGGGGATGCAGAAGACGAGAGGGTGCATAAAGCAGGTACCGCAGGGACCTCTGCGAACCCAGAGGTGTCCTGAGACCCGTGGGGTGCTTTGTAAAGGCAGGTTGAAATGCGTGAAGTCTGGCAGCAAGGCTCAGGGGTCTCTGACAGTTTTAATGCATCTCCAGTGTTACGGCTGGTGGAGTCTGGTGCTAAAGCTTGTCTGTTCCTGCCTCGTGTTGCATCCGCAAGTGACATGCGAGTTTTTTGTCCCCTTTTTGCAGACCGGGCGTGCCTTCAGAGGACGAAACCAAAGCCACGCTTCCTACTCTTGCACCTGATTCCCTTCCTGCTTTTCTTTCTGTACACCGCATCAGTAGCGAGAATAATCCTTTTATTTCTAAAACGGGACAAAAAGTCCAAGTGCCAGACTCTGAAAACATTACTAGTTCTCCTGCATCTGTTCCTGCTCCTCCTTTTGCTGCAGAGCTTTTGAATGGCAAGAACCCCTTTGCTTCCAAGTGGGGCAGGGCATCCGCAGCCCCGGATCCCCAAGGCACTGCCTGTTTCCCTTCTTCCCATCATCTTGCAGCCTCCGTTTCCAAAGCGCCTCTTCCCGGGCAGGTCTCTGGTAGTGGGAATAATCCTTTTGCTTCGGAGTGGGGGCAGAGCTTGCGGGGCCACGGGCCTGAAAGCTGTGATACGGGGGCTTCCCGGGGTCTCTCTTGCCCACCTGCACCTTCTCTCCCCTCTGATTGTCGTTTTAATGACAATAATCCCTTTGTATCCCGGCTTGGGTGGGAGCCAGATGCGCCAGGTTTCCAAGCTGTTGCTAGTTCTTCCCCTTTCTGCCTTCCCTGTGATGAAGATTGTTCCCCAGCAGGACACCCTGCTGAGCCGAAACACTCTGGTCGCCATGCTGCAGGGAGCTCTTCCGCTGTGGCTTTAACTAGTAACGTCAGAGCTGTAGCAAAGCCGCTTGGCACCCTTTCTGACCACCCTGGTCTGGCTCCAAAGAAGCAGTGCCCTTCTCCTCAGCTTCAGGTCGAGACTTCTTTGGAAAGAAGTGAGCTAGGCAACCTGAAGTCTGTGTCCTTTCCCCTTGATGGATCTGAGGGCGTTCCGTCAGGTGATGAGGATTTGGCTGGGCAGGAACATAGAAAACAGGGCTCTGATTTCAGTGAAATGTTACTTTCGGGTTCGGATACCACGGGAGGAAGAGCAGGGTTTGCTCAGGAACTGGAAGTAGGGTGCTACCCACTGCCAGAACCCTCTGATGACAGCACAGGTCCCGTCCGAAACCGCGAGACGGCTGCTCCGGGTGGTGTGGGAGTGGGTGGTGTAGATACTCAACCCCCCCCAAAGGACAGTGAACGCTTTGCACCTCTCTCAAAGTGTAGTAGTAGCCTCTTGATGGAGGTGGGTGGGGAGCAGCCACCTTCTCCTGAGACCGAGCTGAATGAGCAGCAGATCTCTGGTGAAAAGAGGAGGGAAGAATATGCACCCGCATCAGAGCCCCAGGCAACTCCCCGTGATAAAAACGACTCGTTTTCTCAAGTAGCATCTGCCCAACCAACCCTGGGAGCTTGTGCTCCGTCCCCACGGGAAACCGCTGCGGGGAGGGCTGGCGGTGGGGTGTTGGTCACTCCAGAGCCGGCTCCGCGGCTGTCTTTAACGCTGACAAAGTGCTCGCCGGTGTCTCAGGCCGGGTTAAGTGGTGATGTGCCGCCTTCCGGCGACGGCGTAAAATCTGCACCCGGGCTCCCATCGCCTGATGATAAAGCCTCGGATGCTCCTGGGTGCCTCCCCCAGAGAGGCTCATTCGAGGCTGTCGCTCCTCCGGTGATCGACCCCGGTAACGGGCATTTAAAAATTGTAGGTGACGACGATTTATTTGACTGTCTTAAAAATCTAAAGTCTGCCATTCCCGTTAGCGGAGACCGTAGTTCAAAACTGGCCAGCCTTCCAGTTATTCCGGAGGGAGACTCTGATGAAGAGCTGCTGGGTGACTGTCAGGAGAACCGTGGTGCCACTGCAGGTGACAAAACCGTTTCAGAGGCTGGAAAGCAGGCCCTAGTTTTACTGCCTTTGCATGAAGAACAGGCAGAGCGCTGTGGTAGCTCTGCTGCAGCCCCAGTAACCCTGGCTGCTCCTGGAGGAGGAGGAAATGCTCCTGATGCTTGCAAGCCAGGCAAACCATCCGTGCTGCCTGCCAGAGGGGATGGCCACAGCATCAATAACCAGGTAGCTGACTCAGGCTTAAGTATGACGTCTCGTTCTAGGGAGCACGAGAGTAATTTTGGGAAACAAGAACTGAAGTGTGACTTCTTTGAGCCTTCTGTTTCCTCTTCTTCCCTGTCAAGTAATTCCCAGCCCTGCTCTTCCTCTCATTCCCTCCTCTCTGACACCCCAAGTCATAGAGCAGAGTCTCCGAAAAAGCCAACAGCCGAGGGCTTCGCAGATAAAGCAGGAAATTCTGGCAAGAAGAAGCTTCTTCAGGCATGGGTTTCACCCTCTGAATCATCCCCTAGCCAGACTCAGCAGAGTGGTGAAACCGTGTCTCCCAAGCACAGGTGAGAGAATATGGGAAACGCACAGAAAGTGTCTCAGTGCTGATGGGAGCTTTGCTTTTCCTTCCTCTGAGCGCAGATCCGTCTCTCCAGATGCGGGAATTCACTCCTCTTTGCAGTGCTGGGGCATTGTGCAGCCTTAACTTCCTCCGGCCCGCAGATTTGTCAGGGCCTGGGTCCTGTCATGCCAGCCCGGGATCACTGCTGACGCCAGATAAATCTGTGCGGCTCCGAAGGATGCCCAGAGCGCTCCAGGGGACCTGCCGCTCCTAACGCCACCCTGAGGAAAGTTGTCAGGGAAAACTGGCTGCAGTTTAAGGAGGGGTGTCGTTTCATCAAACTGGGGGAAATGGACTGGAATTGATCCATTTTTCAGAGATGGGAGAACGGAGATGGGAAGCCTGATAAACTGGGATGCTCCCTTTCCCGGCCAAACGGGGTTCCTGGGCCGCGGAGTGAACCGCAGCAAGCGATGCAGCTGGAGGCTCTCTATCCTGAGAACGCGTGGCTGCTCGCCGGCGCTGTTGGCAGCTCCTGCCTGCTGGGCTGTTGTCCGAGGAGGAGCGGTGCCACTGACCCGTCAGCCCTCGGTACTCTACCTGCAGAGCACTGGCACACTGCTGGGTTGGCGTTTGCTGCGATGCAAGTCCATTTTTCTTCCTGTGTTAAAATTGGTGATGTTAATCCTCCTGGAGCAAGTGCAGATGGTGCTTTTTGGCAGCTTATGGCGTAAGTTCAGATTGCAAAAGGTGCAATACGTGCTTGTCCCAGGGTAGTAGGAGTATTTGCTACATTGCCAGAACCACAAGTAGGCTCTCGTTAGGAAAGCCGGGCTCAAATAGTAGTGCGTGAGGGATCAGAGGAACTGCTGCTGTGTGCTGCCTTCTCTTGCGACAGACCATTAAGGATGCATTTCCCGTGTTACTTCTTCATCATCTCCAATGCCCTAAGTCAAGAGAGAGTAGAAAAGAGAACTGGAGTATACTCGAGATAACGCCTATAGCTTAGAAATGCCTGTCTTCCCGAAGCTGAGTCTCTTATCTCCCTGGAGATAGAGATGGTAGGAATTTTTTCCCAATTTCTTGCTAGATTAGGTTTTAGTCTGAAGCTCTGCGTAGTGCTGGTGTCGTACGTGCTGCCTTAATAACACAGGCCGTTTTTAACATTGCAGGCTCCATCCTGTGAAGCCGATGAACGCCACCGCCAACAATTCCCCGAGTAAAAACCTGAATGTCATCAGCACGATGAATGAAAAGCTGCTCGAGAGGAACGTCAAGGTATGCAGGAAAGCGGCGCTTTCTCCCAAAGCTGAAGCGGTAAATTGGACGGAGTCTGTGTACTTGAGAGTGTTCCCAGGTCACATATCCTGAGCAGAAGGAGGACAGTGGCTATTAGACCTGGGGAGGGGGTGAACTTTCTTTCTGTCCATCCCCAAAGGCAGGGATAGTCTTTAAATGTGTTTTGTCCGGCCCTGGTGGCTCTGGTTTGCAGAGGGGATCCCCGGTGGAGGGGAGCTTGGGGTGTCTGACTCCCCAGAGGTGAGCGGGAGGTGTGAGAGCCGCAGGGTGGCTGTGACAGGACGGCGGGTGGCTCACGGCACGACGGGTGCTACCCTGGGAGCTGGTGACGTGTGGGAGCTGCCTAACGTGGGTGTGAGCCGAGGGTTGGACACATGAGTCATTGTTTATTTTCAGAGGCGATTAGTCCCCAAAGCTTGTTTTCGCCCTGAAATAAGTCCGTGGCTCTCAAAGCCGAGAAGGTGGGAAAAAGTGACCTCGGGGTGGCTTGTAGTGTGTTGCATTGATGTCCTGTGCGGATTGAGGCCGGGCGCCTGCACCTAAATCACGGCGGCTTCCTGAAAGCGTAGCCGTGCAGCTTGCATAATCACTGGGATTTAAGGGAGGTTTTTTGCAGAATCGTGGTTTCCAAAGAGACCTCCAGGCTTGGGGCGCTGCCTGAAAGTCACGTTGATCAGAATGGCCGGGAGCGGGTCAGCAGGGAAAGTCCCTGGGTACCGTCTCTAGGGGGTTTTTGGGGAAAATGAGCACCAAAATCCCTGCAGCGCCTCCTTCTGGTGAGAGTGGAAAAGAAGAAAATGCCAGTTAGACGATTCAAACTTGACGTTTTGCTGGTTTGAATGAGCTGTAATTAGTATCCTGGCGCCGTGCTCCGATTCCCCGTAAGAAACGATGCTTGGTGGAGTGCGTGAGCCGGTTGCACGCCAGCGCTCCGCTTTAGCGCCGAGAGGGCAGCTGGAGGAGTCGGCGGCGGCTGCCAAGTGCCTGTCAAGCCTGCTTAAGGGTTAAAAGCAGACTTTTCGGGGGAGTTGTGTTTTCACAGCGATAACTGCGATAAGGGGGAAATGCCAAAGGCGTAGGTGGGTGTTTCTTGCTGTTTAACCTGAATTTGGCTTTCCGCGTCTTCGATGTGTTTCAGGCAGTAGCTGTCCCAGTGCGTGTCTAGAAACGACGGCAGTTGGCGGCGCGTGGCTGTAACTTCCACGCGACTTCGCTAAGCTGGACGGGCGGCTGCCTGGACCCAGCCTGCCATTCTTGCCACATAAATTGCAGCAGAGTTGAGCTGCAGAACTGACCTCATGCAAAGATTTTGGGCTAAAACCGATGGCCTGGTTAGCGTCCATAACTGCGCTCTCGCTCTGAGCCCGCCTTCTCTTCTGGAGAAGACTGCCTGAGCTCTGTAAATGGTGTCTCTGTGCCCTAAGTAGCACGCACTTACGCTGAGGCAGTTGCTCTTTCTTCCTCCAGAAAGCTATTCTGCGCTCTGGAAGCACTTTGTGTGTTTTTCCAGGCTAGCTTTGCTGATGGCCCAGAAGGTGCTTTGTAACAGAAAGCTTCCCTGGCCTGCCCGCCTCCCCGCGTCGTCGTTAGTGCTTGGACGGTTGCGCAGCGTGGCTCTGAGCCGGCTCTTCTTGAGCCTAAAATGATTTCCAAAATGTCCTTTGAGTGGAACTTACTTTTCAAACGCTACGAAGCGCAGTAAAGCTCCTGAGGAGCAGCTGTGGTTCTGCAGACACCGTGTGTAAAGCTGTTCGCTGGTGCCTTAAATTCCACAATCTACCAGACATCACCGTCGCTATTTTGAAATGCCTGTGTGTCTGTAATGACCCTGTCTTTCTTCTCCCTCGAAGAAATACGATCCTTCGGATCCTGCCTACGCGTACGCTCAGCTAACACACGATGAGCTGATCCAGCTGGTCTTGAAACAGAAGGATACCATTACCAAGAAAGATCTCCAGGTCCGTGAGCTTGAAGACTACATCGACAACTTGCTCGTCAGAGTCATGGAGGAAACCCCAAACATTCTGCGGGTGTCAATGTCGGGAAACAAAAAAGCCGGGAAGATGTAAAAGCTCTCAGGGCGTTGGTCGAACCAAGGGCTGAATTCCCACCGGTGGGGTCTGGTGAATAAGGAGACGGCGTGAAGTAGGCGGTACTGGTTGTGCTGCCCGCAGAAAATACCCTCTTTCCTGTTCCTGCCTTGAGCAGCTCTCAGATTGATTAGTCGTTTCGTCAGGTCTTGTGTATGGAGGCCGGAAGTGGAGTCAACTTACTTATTTGTTGGTTTCTTTGCGTTGTTTGGGAAGATCTATTCAGGTGTGCAACCCAAAGGCTGGTCCTGCTAGGAAGGATGAAGGGTTTTTGATGTGTCTTGCTTGGCAGCAAGGCACTGATGATCCTTTGTGAAGAATTCTCTTTAATGGTTCTATTTCGTAGCAGATTGGATAGATCACTTATTCTTCTTTCCATATCCTAAGTCGTAGTGCAATACAGTGTCTTGTACAGGAGAGCGTGAGGATTTGGAGGGTTTTAAAAAAACATTAATTAACAACTACACGGGAGAAGGCCAAAGATGTGTGCTTCAGACCAGGGCGGCGTGGGATGTGTTTTTAAAGTAATTAATGCCCTAAAGGTTGAATGCAAGGTAAATCTTCCGTGGGAAGGGAAGAAGCAAAGCTGAGTTGGTGGCATAAAGGACGTACGGTTTCAAAGCAGTTCTCCAAGGGGAAGGTGTGTTCTTTGCTATGGAAGCGTTGAGATCTCACGGTACGTTTGTCCGCTGTAGGAACGGTAGCAGTGAATTTGGGCCAAAGGTGTGTTTGAAACCAGAAGCTGGCCTCTGATAGACTTCAGACTCCTGGTTTGAAGGTCGTTCAAACGAGGGAGGCAAAGGTACGCCTGGTTTCTGCCCTGGGGTCTTTACCAGGTGTGGGTTCCACAGTACACGTGCGTGGCCCGTGGCTCTTGCTGTGTGGGAGCGCTGGGATTTTTTCCTTGACACCGTTGCAGTTTATGACATTGAAACACTTTGGATTTTGGAGCTGGGGCTCACCTTGGAACGACCTTCAGAGGGGATCAGTCTCAACAACGCTTTGGTTCGCGCATTCCGTATGCGGCCAAGCGAGGAACCAAATCGCCCTCCCCTGGGGACGGGGCCGGTCACAGCACTAGTGCGCACGTCTGATCTGGTTTTCTTGTGACTTGGAAGGAGCGTTTTAGGTAGCTGAGAAAGAGCTGGTTTTGCTAGACGGTGGATCAGCTCCCCTAAGGCTTGGCTGCTTGGCAGCCGGATGGAGACAGGTACAATCTCCTCCCCGTCGCGCGGACAGCAGGTGACGGCGTAGCGCTGTCGAGCAGCTGCCACAGCAGGCTGCCTCCACTGGAAAAACAAACATGGCTTTTCTTTTGACGAGCTCTTGTCAAAGGTCAAAGAAATCAGATGCCTCTCGATCTCTGGGATTTATCAGGGTTGCGAGAGCCGTGAAAGGCTTAGAAGAGCGTTGAAATACCGGAGCGGGTGGCAGAGGACCGAAGCAAATGCTCCTACCTTGGGAAGCTGAGAGGGTCTGTTGGGTCACCCCCGTCGTAGCTCAAAAGGGGCGAGTTCTAACTCAGTTTTTTGACAGCAAAGCACTTTATTGAGGGACTAGACCAGCTGGATCGACGATCAACCTGCCAGTAGTCTGCTTACTCTTTTCATAAAACACTGAAAACTCCTGGTATCTTCTCAAAGACTTTTTTTGTAGTGAAGAGTAGTTTAATATATTTGCCTACAGATGTATGCATTTATTGGAAAATTCAAAAGAAAAGAAAGCTATTAATTACATTTTTATTACTGTAAACTGACTAACTACCAAAGCCTGGAGCTTTCCTGACAGAGCTGTCCCCCACGGGAAGCTTGGGTTGAAACCAGCCTTAAGCATTAGGAGTCTTCTAAGACTTCAGGTACTTTTTATTTTTCTAATTTTATTTTTATTTGAGCAGATACCTTCAGTGAAAGGGGCTATTTCTGCTGTACCCTCTTCTGTGAATGAAGGGTCTGAAACGCAGAACGCCCGAGCTCTCGGCCGGTGGTTTTAATTTTGAGCGGTACGGGTTGGCCTTTCTGAAAGCTGCTGCTTCTCGTGCCTTGGAATAGTGAGGAAGATGAAGGATTAATGCGTTTCCTCCTCGTGCCTTGTATCTCTGGAAAGAAACAGTTGCCTGTACCTCACTATTAAACTTGGGTTTTAGGCTTTATTCCACAGCTTTCTGATGTTCTAGGTCAGAGAAATCGGAAAAAACGGTTGTGCCTCTGAGCGGTGACTTGGTGGTCCAAGAAGGGCCTTGTCGGTACTGGTCACTGGACGCAGGGGAAGCAGGACTGGGCTCTTGCTTCCTGCTGGCCTCCTTTTGAACCAGATGGCTGCTGCGGGGTCGCTGGCTGCTGGAGGCACTGCAGTGCTGTGCGATGCTTTTGGAGTGTGGGTTTTGGACCCATGTGCGTTCCTGTTGGCAAGAACCCGCGTCTTGAGGTTCCACGCACAGAAACAAAGCGGCAGTGCATCCTCTTAGCCACCTCCTTGGAGGTGTGAAGCCTTAAAACTTGTAACATCCTCTCCTGGCAGCCTTTTTGCCAGTTACAGCCCTGTCCGTTGAGGTCGACCCCGGGTTGTGTTTGGTTTTTGCCCCTGGGGTGTTCTCTCCGGTGGTTGCGGGTGCTGCTGCGGGGTCGTGGTCCTGCACCAGCCACGCTTCGACTTCCGTGGCCATGAAAGCATTGCACAGACCGTGTACCTCAGTGTTTTATTGGCAATACTAGTTAAAGCCTGTCTCTGGCGTAAGGGGACTGGCATTTCATGTCCAGCAAGATGCTTCACCTGGACTTTAGGGCCTTAAGAATCAAACGTGTTGTTTTATTATTGAAGGATCTGAATGTATTTTTCCTGTTTATACTGTCTGCTTTTAGCCTGGGTACCTATTTGTTTTTAAATGCCTTTGGTTTTCATGGAACACTAAAATAAAAACACCTTAAAGCCACTGTTCTGAGCACCTGTTGTCTTCTCTAAAAGTGCAGTTCCAGATCAGCTCCTCGTGACCAGCTCCTCATCCTCATGGTATTTCTGGGCTAGTTCCATCCCTGCAGGAAGTTCATGGTCAACACCTCGCAGGGCGGGAGAACCTGATGGACGAGCTCAGCCGCATCGCCAGAGTTCCGTAAGCGTTTCATCACTGGGTGAAAGGTTCTTGGGCCGGGAAGGAGCCCGTTAAATCACCCCGCTCCCTGATTGTAATGGCCCTCAAATTGTGGGCAGCAGATGAAGAGAGGAAATCAGCCTCCCGCTGGCTCGGGGCCGTTTATCCCGGCTGCGCTGCGGGAGCCCTGAGTGCTGTGGCAGCCTCCGCTGGCAATGGAAGGTGTGTGTGGGGGGGCCACC